ACCACTGCATCAACTTCTTCTTCTCCCTCTCCTTCTTCCCTGCGAGCAGTGGGGTGACCCAGTGCCCATAGACGGAGCCGGTAGTGGGCATAGCTTCAGCTTGCAGTGGGCAGGGCTGGCAGCTAGCTCCCTTTTCCCACTACATCCCATCTCTGTTTGCATTCTCTTTCACCTAGACCCATGCATTACAACTTGTACATCTAGAAAGTTGATGTTCTCCAATTCTGATTAATGCATACTGATCAAAGTTTATTTTAATAATTTGGAGATAGGTTTGATACTGAGCAAAAAATCTCTGCTTCAGGAGAACTCTGTTTCTTGACCTTGACTGCAGAAATCTGTGGCCAGTTTGGGATAGTAGAATGGGACAGAAAAATGGCACAATCTCATTGTGTACTTCATAATACCACTTAACATTTGGTGCAGATCAAGGGAACCTGGAGCCTTTTCTGTAAACAATCACACAGCCAGTGCTAGTTTCCATTGTTGTATTCCTCTCCTCCCTGTTGTGCTCAGTTTTCATATGTGGCATTCTCCACCTATCTTCTGTAAACCCAGTTTTCAGGGTGGCCATTGGCATCCATCCATCTTGGAACCTCAGTGCTAAACATTCCCAGAAGATGGGGCTGGTGCCAGACGTTGTGGGTGGTGACACAATTCCTCACATGATCTATCCTTCAAGAGATGCACCTTGGAAATAAGACACCTTAGCAAGGGCCCTCAAGGATCCCACAACATTCATTATGCGGGTAGTGTGTGTACCCTGGCTAAGATGATAACCCTTCTGAGCCGTAGCCGCTGGAGTCTAGGCATTTTGTGGGTTTTGTGAACAATATCCGTTTAGCCCCTGTGGGCATGTTTATGTTTCTCATATGAAAATAGGGAATCTGAGGTTACTGTTGTGTTGGAAAAATGTCAAGATTCAATTGGCAATATCCCACTAAACCACAAGTTTGTAGGAGAGAAAAAACAAAACCCTCAGATATTCAAAACCATGTCTGTAGGCTTTTAAAGAAAATATATACAATCTAGGTCAAGTCATGCTCATGTTATGATGGTGGCAGTCCTGAAAATAATTGAAATGTGGAAATAATGCTCTCACGCTGTTCAGTGAATGAAGGAAAACAAATTTTTATTATTCCAGAGTTCACATAATATATAAGAACACTATTGTCTGCTACCCCCACACCTTCTCTCTTTTTCTTTCTTTCTTTCCTTTTTTAAATGCCCGATTTAGATCTCAGATATGTTTTATTGTTTAAGGGAACATGTGTTTTACAGACTTGTCATGTGAAAGCTATTTTAAAAAGGAACTAGCGCAATAACAGTAAGCCACGTAACCATAGTATAGTTAATCCCCAATGTTTGACTATTAAAGTGCTGCTTCTAAAGGATGTGAAATCAGATAACTTCATGCAGTGTTAACTTTTCAACAGCAATTTTTCATTTGCTAAGGGATGCTATAGGGGACGTGGTGGCGCTGTGGGCTAAACCACAGACTGTGCTGCAGGGTCAGAAGACCAAGCAGTCGTAAGATCTAATCCACATGACGGAGTGAGCGCCCGTCACTTGTCCTAGCTCCTGCCAACCTAGCGGTTCAAAAGCATGCAAATGCGAGTAGATTAATAGGGACCACCTCGGTGGGAAGGTAACAGCGTTCCGTGTCTAAGTCGCACTGACCATGTGACCATGGAAGATTGTCTTCGGACAAAACACTGGCTCTATGGCTTGGAAACGGGGATGAGCACCGCTCCCTAGAGTTGAACACGACTAGACAAAAATTGTCAAGGGGAACCTTTACCTTTACCTTTAAGGGATGCTAAGGGATTTTTCTTTTTTCTTAAAAAAAGCTATTAATACTGTATTTTGTTGGCTCGGGACAGAGATTCTTTGTCCAACTTGGCTATTTTCCACCACTTTTTAGATAGCAGAAGAAAAATGGGCTAGATCTACATAATACACTAAGTTTGGAGTTGCATAATAGCAGTTGCTTAAGAAGTGTCATGCTTCTTGCAACATTGTGTTCATTGTGTTATGAGTCCTCTCTCCATGTCCAGAAGCTCATGCTACATAGGTAGCAATGTATTAATTCCCTATATTTTTAAAGAAGGCATTTCATATTAGATAATTTGTAATTTTCTATTGTCTCTGATAATGATGGAATGTTTGTGGATTTAATTTAGAAGTGCTTACTCTGGTAAGAATGGAAATCATCTGGATTAGAAGTACCTGTGAAACTAAAATAGTTGAACTCTGTACAGTATCTAGTGAGTGTCAGACATACTGTATAACAGAGCCAAAACCTAAGGTTGAATTGGGGAACAATTGCCTGGACTAAATTATTAGTCGTCAGGCTTAGTTGTAGATCACATTTATCCCTAGGTGAATATGGGGTGCCCAGATCTAAGCCACTGTATATTAGCTTTGTTGGTGCACTAACAATGAAGCAACAGGAATATTTTAAGACAAAGGTGTCTCTACCTCTACCTACAAATAGCTTCAGTGGGAAATCTGTATATTTTATTTTTAGAACCAAATAAAATGAAACAGATCAATGGTTCTAGATTCACCCTGCATCAGTGATTAGTAATAGTTATTTTATGCCAGGGACAAGATTCAACCTTGTAGCATTACTGCTGTCAAAATATTCTGCCCATTCCACTCTGTGTCAAATAGGAATATCAGAAGGAATGTTCAGGAGGAGGGTATAACCACAGTGCCTCAATGCACATTGATTTATTTATTTTTATTGATATCCCATCTTCCTCCCTTTTGGGACCCCAAGCAACTGATAGTATATGTTTAAAAAACAGAAATCTAAAAAAAACCATAATAAATTAAAATATTAAGACAATATTATGTAAAGTAATACAGTTAATAAAGTTAAAAACTATGTGAAATCAGTTAAACCATTTAGAAAGAAAAGAACAACAACAAAATACCGACCATTAAAATGTCCTGATCATTGACCAAAAGCCTGTCTAAATCCAAAATCCTGCAGATAACCTGGACCCAAGACATATAGACATTTATAGGGTCATTTCCAGCATCTCAAAAAACCTGGTAGCCTGGGAAGCTGTTGCAAGAGCTTCTATTCTCACTATAACTGGGTCCAGTCAGTAAGCTGGCCACAGCATTGTGAAACTGCTGGAGATTCAGAAGGCCTTCCAAAGGCAGCGCCATGTAGAACAAATTACAGTAATCCAAACAGGAGGTTAAGTAAGACATGCATTACCATAGCCAGATTGGACTCTTCTAGGAACAGTTACAACTAGAAACTAGTTTTAACTGTGCAAGCACACTCCTAACCCCCAAGGAGCCTTGGACATGCAAGATCAAGGCTGAATCCGGGCATACACACTCAAGCTGGGAGTTTTAGGGGGGACTGTAACTCCATTTAGCACAGGTTGAATTCCTCTGGCCTGATCTGACATTTGACTGACCAAGAGTACCTCTGACACGCTCAGATTACTTTTTAATTTATTCACCCTCATCCATTATTGACCCCAGACACCAGTTTAGAACTGAGACAGCTTCTGAGGAATGCATGCGACCCTTCCTTTGAGGGAAACACAATGTGATTTTTTAAAAAGAACATTTAAATGCTTGGCATGTCTCAGCAACTGGCTATGATCAAAATAGGATCTTCATGTATGTAATATAAAGAAAACCAGGGCGATATAGCAGGTAGAATACTAGATGAGAACTGAGAAGATCTGGGTTTAAACTGTTGTTTAGCCCATCACTACAGGTCAGCACACCTACCTCACACACCCCTTACTGAAGGTGTTGCAAATTGAGTACATTGATCATGGGTACATTATTCGTGTGTATTACTTTGGAATAACCGTGCACAACTGAGTATAGGAAAATAATTAATTTTAGAAGCAAAACCTTATCTTCCACTAAGGAATACCAGAACTTGGAAAAGTATGTGGTTTTTTTTTGTTTGTTTGTTTGTTTTTTGGATTGCAACATCCAGCGTACCCAGGAGAAAAGAGCTATGGAGCATGCCGGGAGGATTGCAACATCCAGGGTACCCTGGAGAAAAGAGCTATGGAGCATGCCGGGAGTATTGAAGCCCTAAAACTAACTTTTCCAGTCTCTAAGGGCAATATATATATATGTATCCTTTCAACCTTCTGCAAGAATCTTGTGACAGTAAATCTCACTACTTAGAGGGTTAGGATCAGTGAAAGCCGCACATTCTGGCTGGCTACCAAATCTCATTGAGATTTGTGCCCACACCCCTTCTTACTGAGGCCACAGTTCTAAAGCACAGTGTTTTCTTTCATCAAGGCAAGAAACCCAAAAGAGATTACCTCTTTTCAGACTTATTCTTTACTGAATTAGATACAGTTATAATGGCAGGCTGGGTAATAGCAACCATCTTTATGTTTGCAAGGTTCCTTAGACATTTTACTTTTATTGCAATCTTTTGTATGATGTAATGGACTTTTTTCTTTTACCTACTCCACTTCGCTTCTCATTTGAGTCCTTTGAACCCGAATGGAAGATCATTTTCATGATTTATAAATGTATAGTATGTCTAGGCTCACTGGTCTTGCTGGAGAGAGGGGGAGGGAGAGAGGGAGAGAGAAAAAGAATCAAACAACCTTTTTGCATTATTAGTGCTTTGTGTTTATGATATTGATTAGGCATACAGTTACATTGTTTAGAGCAGTGGTCCCCAACCTTGGGCCTCCAGATGTTTTGGACCACAACTCCCAGTAGCCTTCACCACCACTTCTGCTGGCCAAGATTTCTGGGAGTTGATGTCCAAAGACATCTGGAGGCCCAAGGTTGGAGACCACTGGTTTAGAGTGGATGTTCTATCAATGTGCATCTCTACTGTTGGGAAAAGTTGATCCTCTGATCCTGCCTGGATTCTTTCCAGGAGTCTACAGGGATTTCTTTTGGTTGGTAAGGCAAGTTGTTTGATGCTTATCTATATTTCTAACTGTGCTTTTCTTTTCTTTGCCTTGTCTTTCTCCTACTAGCTGGTCTGCCATTTCTGATCATCGAAACAAGCACCATCGCACCCTATAAACGGGGATTTTACTGTAATGATGAAAGCATCCGCTACCCGCTGAAAAGTGGAGAGACCATCAATGATGCTGTCCTTTGTGCTGCAGGCATTCTTATAACCATACTTGCCGTAAGTAGGACAACACGGTTGTGGTTTCTAAGCCTGCCCTGACCAGATTTCAATAGAAAAGTGTTCTTTTAAAAAATTGCTAGCAAATAGCAGTCCTGTTCTTTTCTAACCCTTAATAAATAGAACATAGATACTGGCTAATTAACTTTAGTGCTTTTAAGTACTTGTGATGTTCTTAATGCAAACATCCCAAATTGGATTGCACATTTAAGTAGTCCTTCACTGGGATTTAAATCATCAGGTGACTTACTGCAGGAGACATGGAAATTGTTTGCATGTGGTCCACTGACAGCCCTATTCTGAACTCCAGCCCCACAGTCAGCAAAAAAGATGTTGGCTTCCAAAATGGATAGTTGATCCCTTGGAAGTCTCTAGAGCAGTGGTCCCCAACCTTGGGCCTCCAGATGTTCTTGGACTTCAACTCCCAGAAATCCTGGCCAGCAGAGGTGGTGGTGAAGGATTCTGGGAGGTGTAGTCCAAGAACATCTGGAGGCCCAAGGTTGGGGACCACTGCTCAAGAGAATCTGATTGTTCATTTTAATGCCCTTATCCACATGAATCTTTTTAAAGGCCCCAAATGGCGTCTTATCAAAACCAGTAATAACTATCAGTGTTTGGTCACTAAATAGTGTTTGGTCACTTGATAGTCCCAGGCCTTGAGCACCTGTCCGCTCCTATATTATAAAACAGGATTTTAATCCTGTTGGAGCAAGTGTCTGTAAGGTGTAAGGTGTCTGAAATACTGCAATTAACACTCTTTGAAAGAAAATGGATTAGATTTTACATGTATCTACCTGGGGTCATTTTTAGGGGTTCTGACTATAATCATCTTTTAAATCACACCACCAATTGGAATAATCTTAGTAGAAGCATCTGTATCATTATCCAAATTTGGTGGCAATGTCAGGTGATAAGTTCGGAGTCTGTTGTCCAAAAATAGTGCCAGTGAGTATCTAACTTAAAAATAGTGAACTTGTGGTTCAGGGTAGAGAGGCCATTACAAACCATATAAGCAGGCCAAATGATACATTGGATCAAACAGCATGATTAAATGCTGTTTGGTCTTTAAACAAAATAGAATTTAGAATCCTAAAGGATTTGGTGTATCTGAGTCCGCACACTGATAATTTTTGTGGTATTTACATATCCTGTATTTCATGCAGTGTTATGAAGTACGTTCTGCCTTACAGCCAGCTACTTTCTGGAAATGTTTTGCAAGACAGGATTGGGTTCTGAAATATAGTAAGCAGATATATTTTGAGGTGAAATTGGAAACTTGGAGGACTGAGCAGAAAGAGTAGTGTGTCTGTGTTCAAGCTTTTTGCACTAAGACAGATAATTCTGCTTATGTGTTCTCTCCCTTCCTCCACCCTTTCCTTTCTTTGTGCAGACATATTGGCCAAAACCCTGTTGCTTAACTTACTAAGTCACAGTATAGTAGGCCCATTGAATCAGTGGGGATTTGTTGAGTCCATTTGAATCAATAGAGCTTACAGAGGAGTTGACATACCAAATCTCCACAGATTCAGTAGGTCTACTCTAATGTAACTTACAACTCAGCTGACTTGTGCAACAAATGAGGGTAGGTGTTATATGGACTGTCCATCAGACAACTAATCCCCACCCCCATTGTTCAGTTGATTATTAATTAGGACATGCAGTTGGCGGTGGAAGGGATAGTATACTGCTTGTAAGATTGCCGATACATGCATAGTTTTCTGCAGTAAGGTTTTGATTTATACAATATGTCTATACATACCATTCAGAAATTGTATCCCATTAATTACATACACTTGGGAGACATAGTTCATAAAGATTTGATTATAAATATTCCCCACCATTTTTCATTTTCTTCCCTTCTTTTAAATAGCTCCATAACTTATATAATATTGAGACTAAATTAAATAATGATTCAAATCAGGGAGCAATCTGTAGAAAAGAACCCTTGCTTGTGTGACTGAGAGTTTTGTGTGTTTGGGTTAGCCAATCATATTAAATCTGCTCAACCTTTTTCAGACTAGCTTTGTTCCATGGGTTTCTTTTAGTATTTTGTCATGTCTGAAATGCAAGAATGGAGCTCTTTGATGAAAGAAAAAAAAGAACATTATTTGTAAACAAAGAATAATTTTGATAAGTGTATTATCACTGAAATGGACTTGCATTCTTCAAGCAGATGAATAAACCAGAAAACAAGGAGGAATTCTATCTTTCAAAGGAACTTCCCCATTATGGAAAAGTTATACATTAAAATGGAAAAACTTTCCATTTTCACATTAATGCCTAACAGGCCGTCATTTCGGCTCCTTGCAGAATCTGCTTCTGATCAGGGCAAGCTGGTGATGTGCATTAGTGTAGCAAATGTGACTGGAAACATAATCGGCTGACTACATAATTCATCAACCTTGTAATACAAAATGGCAGGCTCATTAGAAACTGTGGGGAGGAGAAGGAGGGAGTAAGAAAAATCCAATAAATGTTGCAAAATACATGCTTCTGTGTTGGGTTTTGTGGTATTTAAAATAAAATTTACCTTTAATGGAAAATACAAAACAAGATGGATTTTTCTTTTAATTGTCAAGAAGTAAGGCCCATAACAAACTAATTATTTACTGTGACAAAAACATATGGAAAACACGTATTATACCACTAAGGATCTATACAAATTGCTACATGCAAAAAATTATAACTGTGAAGCAAATGGTTTAAGTTAATTTCTAACTGGGCCCTTTCCCAAACTGAATGTTAGAAATACAGTACTCTGTGCACTTCAGAAAAATTTAAATTATTGCCACCTTCTTTGTTGTAACTTAACACAATAATTCTGACAGTAGCTGTGTTTAAACTCTTTCTCACTGGTGGTAAAAATCTCCTCCAAATAACCATAATGGATGTAGAGCACCTTTAACTCCTATAATCGGAAAGATGGTATCTATAACCTGTTTCCAAAATCTTTTTTACATGAAAATCTAAAGACAGACAAAACACACATGATTATCATGCATGAAGTATTTATCAGCCTTATCTTTTCCATATCACCAGCAGCAAACAGCTTTCAGTTGTTCTTTGTGACCTCTGTGGCTTATACAATTGATACTGTGCTTGCATGAAGTCTGTCTTGGAATCTTCTAGAACTGTGCTGTTCAGTCCACTGCGCATGTGAGAGCATCTCTGAGCAAAAAAACCCTCTCAGTTTCATCCACCACTAGAGTGACAAAGTTTTGGGATTTCTCTGCTGAGCATTTTCTTCTCATACCCCCAGTGGAAAATTTGTTCTTTCCTTTTCTTCACTTTGTTACCACTGTAGACCTGTTCTCCTGTGGCCTTGCCTGCTTGAATGGCCTCCAAGTCTGTAAAGCACTGGTCCCCAACCTTGGGCCTCCAGATGTTCTTGAACTTCAACTCCCAGAAATCCTGGCCAGCAGAGGTGGTGGTGAAGGCTTCTGGGAGCGGTAGTCCAAGAACATCTGGAGGCCAAAGGTTGGGGACCACTGCAAAGGCTTAAAAAATGTTCCATTTGCAGTTTTCCACCAAGTGAGACTTTAATTTCAAATTTCCAAATACATGTAATCTTCCCACAATCAAAATGTACCTATTTTTCAAAGGATGTAATGCAATTAACTAGGGTTACTGTAGCATAATATGAATCTGTCACAATTTTGAGGCATAGTAATTCTTCCTTTTCTCTTTGATGACCTTACTTTTCAAACACAAGGCTGCGGTAGGGGCATTGAGGGATGTGAAGCAAGACAGTCATTTTCATGCTGCAAACCTTGTATTTTCACTGGCATCAACAGAGGCTCTTGTCTACAGTGAAAGGTCTAGGTCATGTTTTATAGGTTTCCAGGGCCCACAGAGTTCTTGTCAAGTAAACATCAGAGGCTATGACCCTTTTCTCCATCAGTGGATAGGAGGATATGAGTGCACAAGACCCTTGAGATACCTATTGCCTGAGGGACTATGCTTTTCAGACCTCCCCTAAATATTCCCTATATTTATCCCACAGTGCCTGCTTTAGGGCTTAGAAAATATGACTTCTTTGACCTTTAAGAACTCATTTTCTCCCCAGATCAGGGCTGCAACTATAAAAATCTTGCTTTATTGGCTAACCAGTAAGTCTTGCACTTGTAATTGATGGAACCTTTTTCTCCGTGCGTTTGCGGAAGTAACTAATGCTTTTTCATTGCTTGACATCTCTGCTCATCATGTTTGCTTTGTAAACTTTTGTGTATTTGCCAAAAAATTCATCTTCTACGAAAGACATAATTTGTAACCTATTTCCGTTTACGGTTGCATAAACTATGCTCACCTGCATAGTGGAACTTATTTCTGAGTAAAA